ATAGTGAGTGTGTCATAGGGGATGGTTCAAACATCAAACCTGCTTCTGGGAAAGGGAGTAGGCCTGGAAGGCGCCACATGATGAGAGGTTGCCTTTGTCATTTCACTGTCAAACGGTTGTATACACGTCCACTTCTTGCTCTTATAATTTATAATCAAAGAAAGCATGTCGATAAGACTGGGTCCCCATGTCATGGATTACTTGATCGGAATGCTGTTGGGACAAGAGCTATGTATGCTCCTAGAATTTCAGAAGAATTACGTCACAGGGTAATGTCTATGCTTTATGTTGGAATATCTTTGGACAACATAATCCAGCATCATACAGAGTTGGTGAAGCAGCATGGTGGACCCCACAACCGTGATGATTTCCTCACCCGTAATGATGTACGCAACATGGAAAGGATGATCCACAATTCTTCCCATGAATTAGATCCAGATGATGCATGCAGCGTGAGGATGTGGGTGCAACGACATCATAAGCAAGTCTTTTTCTTCCAGGAAAACTCTGGGTCACAACCATATATTTTGGGGATACAGACAGATTGGCAACTGCAACAGATGCTCCGTTATGGACATAATGACCTTATAGCTTCACATTCAACAGTTGGCTTGAAGAAACTTAAGGTAATTTCCTATATTTCTTAAATGCACAATTTGTTGGGATGATGCTTCAGTTTCAGTATGTTTTTGCTTGTTTAAACTTTCTTGGTTATAGATGACAACCAGAGGTCGTAGAGATCTTCATGACAACAATTTCAGCTATAAAACCTGTTTCAGAACCCAATTTACGTATGGTAAGATTGGCACTCAGAGAAGAAAAAAGAAATAATTCTTGGAACAATGATGAAGGAACTTTGGCATTGAGACAAATAAGCATATGCTAGGAGAGAGGAGATAAATTGTTTTCCTAAGTGAAACTTACAAAGACCACTCTGAATTTTTTGGATTGTCTTAACTACTAACTATGTGGTTTAATTTGAGATAAACTGCTCCGTATATTATGCATAACTAGATAGGAACTTCTCTATAAAATTTTATGGTGAATGCACATGCATTGACATGGGAGATTATTAAGGAGTAGAAAGTAATTTTCTCTAGTTTCTAAAAAACCTAGAAATCCTCCTCTCTCTCTCTCTATCTCTGTCTTCATGAAAAGCTGCAAATCTTTTTAAATTTTTCTCCTTATTTTTCTTTAAAATTCTTAAACTTTCATCTTGTCCTTTCCCCTAAGGTACCAAAAAACCCTAATGTACCCAAAAAAACCCAAAAGAAATTAACTGAAAAATACTGGACTTAGAACAATGCAGGACAGTAGTGCTAATTTTATAGACAGAAATATAAAGAGATGAAGATTTGCGAATTATTTTCTCCTTGTTTGAACAATAAGATTCGAGAATCTTCGGGTGAGAGAGTAGAGGGAGGCAAAAGTAGGGAATTGTTAGAGGAGAGAGATTTATTTGGGTAGTTCGAAATTTTTGGGAATTGTTACCTTAACTGTGGGAAATCACTCCTTTTTTTCTGGTGGAAGTAGTCACTCTTATGCAAAATATGGGCATTCATATGAATATTAATGTCTAACTGTTAATAGAAGGTCCCATTTCGGATATAGATAAGTACCGAGTGCAAATTGTCTCAACTAAACTAAAAGCTGTATCTAAAAACTTTTCTTTGATTTAAGACAGAAATTTATTTGACTGATTAGATAGGTGAACATTTCAAATTTTCATTTTATGTTTTGGCTATAATATTTTTTGGCTGCATTCTGGTTACTCAGATTGCCAGAATAAAACATTTTGCCTTGGAAATTATTTTCGCTTAGATTTGAAGATGAATGGGATTCATTATGTTGAGATACATAAAGAACCTGCCTAGTTTTTTATAGTAATTCATTATATGTTGGATAATTCTGCAGAATAAAGCTGTTCTTTTTTTTTGACAGTATCATCTTTCTACTTTACTCGTCTTTGATTCATTGCGGAATGCAATTCCAGTTGCTTGGGTCATTAGCTCCTCTTGTGTTAGTCACAACATTCATAAATGGATTGGTTCCCTCGCTGAAAGAGTCCGAAGCAAGGACCTCAGATGGAGAGCCAATGCCTTTCTAGTGGATGTGCCTTCAATTGATGTTTCTGTGATAAGGCAAAATTTTCCTTGTGGACTTTCAAGTTCTTTTGCATCATTAAGCTCTTTTTGAATATGGAATATGTGACTGCTGATACCATGTTAATTTGCAGAGAGGCTTTCCAATGTCGGGTCCTATTATGTGTTTGGTGTGTTCGCCGATCTTGGATAAGTAACCTTATAAAGAAATGCTGCAACATTGATCTGCAGCAAGAGATGCTTAAGCACCTAGGATCAATCTTGTATTCCACAAGAAGCAGACGAAATGATATTGATGCATTGGAAGAGTTCATGCAAGTATTTGTTGATCAAATTTCTTTCATGGATTATTTCAGGAGGCGATGGTTATCCTGTATAGGTGTGTTTCCATTTATGCTAGACAATATATTCTTTTAAAATAATGAGCCATATCTTTTCTTTCCCCAGTTTTAACTTCTTTCATTTTGATCATATAATGTGTTTTTAGTGTCTTCTTTCTTGAAATGGCTGGTCCAAAAACCAGAAACAGGGGAACTATGCTTGCAGACTCCCAAGCACGAATTTTGAAATATGATGTCTTTATTATTAAAAGAATTAGATAATCATTTTTCTAGTAAGTCTCTAATAATCATGACTGTTGCAGCAATAGAGAACTATGGCCTCAGGATAGACATTTTAAGTAGACTAGGATTATAAAGTGGGGGAATTAACTTTTCTTTTTGTAGATAAAAAAGTGGGGGAATTAACAAAACTCCATATATCTTTATCCATGTCTCATTTTACTCCGTGTACTTTCATTTTACTGAATTTTACCTTATACTTTCATGTTGTCCCAGATGGCACCTTCTGTTATTTTTGTATGTTAAGAAATTATGCACACATATATGTTTAATAAACAAAGATTGTTGGGGGCAGTAAGTAGTGGTGGAATGTAATGGAAGATCCTTGACAATCTCCATTGAAGAAATTTGTTCCTTGTTTGGTACTTGTGAAACATGGATTGGTTGGTAGCATTTGTTTCTTTTTTGTGTTATTTCTATGGCTATACTTTTCTCCTAATTTCATGCCACCCAATCATTCACTAAACTCTCTCATACTCTGCAACACTTCACCTCATCAAGGTGTCATATAAAAAGAGTCTGCAGCCTTTTTAATTAGACAGAGAGAGATCCTGCATTTGTTGCCCCCACCATGTAAGTCCGTGTTTGTGTACAAATGTGTATAAAAAGAGAGAATCCTGAATTACTGGGGCTGATTATGATTATCTAATACTAATTCTGATAACAATTTAGAGCAAAGAGAGTAAGTGGTGGTAGAGAGACTGGTAAGTTCAGAAAGATGATGGAAAATAAGGCAGAGAAGACCGAATATGTTTCCATAATTTGTTAAATGGGTATTTGTGTAAATTTAGATCTAACAAATGGTGCTATTTGTCATACAACGAAAATATAAGGTTGAAACTAACCAGATTAAAAAATAAAAGGGGTAAATTGAGACACCAGTAAAACTATGGGGGTGTTTTCCGAAAAATTATCCAGTAAAGTTTGAATATGACCATGCTTTACATGTTTCACTGCCTTGCAGAATTATGGGTTAGTGGCATAAGGTCTCTCCCTGTGGCCAGTCTGGAGCACCATGCTTCAATTGAATCCTATCACCTAATGATGAAATCAAAGCTTTTTGATGATAGACATTCTAGTTTCTGGCCAAGAGTTGACTGGCTAATCCACACTTTAACCACTGAATTTCATTCCTTGTTCTGGTTAGATCAATATATTGAAGAGACTGGATATTTTCTTAATATGAGGAGTGATACTTTCTCAAGGAATGCTTGGTATCAATCATTAAACATCCCAGATGTTGATGTGATATTGGATGAGCAAAACCCACAGCTTGCAAAAGTTGTCTCTCAAGCAGACAGAACCCGGACATACATAATATGGAACCCTGGTTCAGAATTCACGCTATGTAATTGTGCTTGGTCAAGCCTTGGAAATGTCTGTAAGCATGTGCTCAAGGTGTCAATGTTGTGTAAAAATAGACAGGTATCAAGGCCGCTTTTGGCTGCCCAAACTTATAAACAGATTTTACTTACACTTCTTCAAAATCCTCCAGATGATCCGTTAGTTCTAGATCACACCATTTTGCATGCAGCCCGTTTTCAACAGGATATCAAAAGCCTGGAAGACTTGTCTGATAGTGGCCTTCTTCAGCCTGTACAACCTGATATGAACTGTCAGGTTACAGAAAATACTCATTTCTTCCCTCGGCTTCATTGATTGGGCCACTGAAAGAGTGGGCAAGCTGAATTACTTGAGTATACTTGTCTATCAGCAAGAATATGATCAGGAATTTTGATGGAATTGCAGACATATTTCTTTGATCTGCCTTAAGCTTATTTCAGGATGGGTCTAAACATGCAACTCTGGCCATATAAATTTGCATCTTGAAGTTTGGACTCTTCAGCTGTTAAGGTACATTTTGTTGCAGTTCTGGTTGAAATTTGATCCATCTTGAAAAGTTCTCTTAACTGCTATTTGCTTTTCAGAGTTTTTTTCCTCACTTGAACACGTGCTGAAGTTTCTTCTTGTTTTTTTCAAATGCAGTGAATGCAACAGACAGCAGGCAGGATCCCTGGGTGCTCTCAGTCATTTAGATAACTATTGTGACTTCGATAAAGGTAACGACCAAATTTAAGCTTTTATCTGCTCTTGAATCAGAAGTTGCTTTCTAGCACTTGAAATCATGTGGGTAATGGAGCTTGAGACTTTATCACATGCATATAAAACATGTGGATTGTTTAGACAACCTGTACGCAGCATGGTCTGGTTGCCTTAAAATTTATCCCGGAGGGAAGCATGGAGATATATGCTTTCTAAATGGTCCTTCTAATCATTTCCTTTTTATCAGAGTTCCTAGCAAGTGAAAATATGGATCTAACTTAATCAGAAAATGTTACTTGGTTGGTAATTGCGGAGCTCTTTAAGTCTAGGAAAACTTGGATTTGGTATGTTAGTAACATGTCGCGATCTGTTTTCCTTCAAGAAGCAACTAAAGATCCCATGGAATATGTACGTACTTGATTTGTTGCCTCTAAGGCCACAGTTTGCTGTTTAGAAAGCAAAAGGTTTTGGGATATTGGAAGTCTATCCAATTAATAAAAAGAGTTGGATTGATGTAGTTACTATTGACACTTAACACTCAAAGTGATGCTGCAATTTGTTCCAAGATATTCTGCCCTCATGTAATTTTGAGTTTAGATTTTTTTTTTTCCCCCTCTTTAGCCTTCTCCTTGTTCCTACATAGAAGTGGAGATTCCTTGCCAATATTCAGGGTCTTTCTTGTTTCTTTTATTATTTTATTTTATTAAATTAAAATAAGCACCTAACTGTACTTTAAAAATATTAATTTTTTTATGCAAGTACAATGATAACATTTATTCAAGTTGTTATATATAAATATAACAAAGATATTCCAAGTATACATAGAGTTAAAATAAGATACATTCAAAATATCTCCTGTGATGGTATGAGAAATCTTGTCTCCTTGGAAAGTTTGGCTAAATTTCTTTGAAGATTATTGTCTCAACATTCTTTAATTTTTTTTAATTCATTACTACCATTAAATACAAGTGTTTACTTGTTATTCTCCATAAAATCTAACTTCAAAAAAAAAAAAAAAAAAAGCACCGAACACCCAGAAAGGCCTCTTTCTTTAGATGTCTTACCATGAATTTTTAAAATTTTACATATTAGCATTTTTGATACATTTCATTTTTAATGAGGATGAACAATAAGGGAGTTTTCAAATTTGTTGTCTAATTATAATCTGAGTTCATTAGTTTGAGAAAATTAAAATTCAATCCTTATGTTTGAATAAATATTATAAATTAGCCTATGTACTAATTGAATATCCTAAAATTATTGTTAAATTACAAATTTTTTTTTTTTTTGTGGGGACAGAGAAAATCATCTAAAAATAAAGCACAAAATTTTTGAAGAAAATAAAATTTGAAAAGAGTTTGGTTGATTTAAGTTTCTCCATTGATAGCTAATTCAAACTCTTTCTCTAGCTTTTTTGTTAAGATCCTTGCAATTTCATTCAAGATTTTGTGTTTTTAAAATGAATTCATGTCTGGCAAAAACATAGATGAAAATGTTTTTAAAGCAAAACATAGATTTCTTGCAGTCTCTCTCTTTTCTTTTTTTTTTTTTTTTAACATTCATAATTAATAGCATTTCTTAAATAGTAAAATAATGATTTGAGTTGAATAATACTTTGAATTACATTAATATTAGTAACATTTTTAAATTATTACTAAAGTAATGATTTAGTTGAGTAATAATAATTATTATATATAACTATTTTCGTAGAAATATTTGTTATTGATTACTTGAAGAAATACTTTATATATATAACTTCAGAATAGAAAATTAGAGTTGAACTCGTTACAACTCACTACTTTTAACATCAAAATGTCCCCTTTCTTGCCTATTGCATCAGAGTTGCTCCATCTCATATACATCCATTGAAAGAAACAGAATCCATAAGATTAGGAGAATAATTACTCTACAAATTTAGAGGGAACAAATATAGCATAAAATTATAAGTTATGTCATTATGATTCACTAAAACACTAGTTCAAGTCTGCTGGCTTATACATTCATCAAATGCCCTTTGTAGAAATAATAAAAGGGTTCAAAAACAGGCAGCCATAAAATTTGGCTATTGCCCTTTCTTCATGAACAATAGATTTCCATGCTTGAAACTTTATGGAAAGCCAAAAAGAAAAATAAAAAGTTGCAGAAACTCAGTTACCCACCAACCACCAAAACCATGAAAGCTGAAACCCAATTCAGCAAACGGAGCAATGTACAAAAATGATCATCCATGGCTGCTAATAGATGCACATAAAACAGCTCTTTGTAAACAGATGATCAGGGAGCCGTCTACCTCCATTTCATCAATCATGGAAATGGTGGTTGGTTGTGGAGGTACATAACCCATTTCATGTCACAACAGGGATGCCAGTTTCAAAAAGCTCCTGGCTGTTGTCTTTGTTGGGAGAATTCTCAGGAGACTTGTTCATGTCTTCCTCCTCCATTTCTTCATCAATCAGAATCTCTGGCAACCGACAATCCAAGCTGCAAAACGCCTTCTCTCCTCTGCAGGCAACCAAGCAAGCAATACTTACAGCACCCAATCTTCAACCAAAGAAAAAGTACATTACAGTAATTGAAGCAAACCTGTATATGTATATATCTTTGCCCTCCAATTTCTTGTTGCAACTATAACAGAAACTCAAAAAATTATCAGAGTTCCACACAGAAGTAGAGCCTGTAACAGCTGGGGTTAATCCAATTTCATTTCCTTCATTCCTACTGCAGTTGGTCAGCTCATTATTGTGACACTTCAAAACATAGTCACCGTATATGTGAGTTGTTTTTGGGTTGGGACCGTGTGAGATAACACAGGTATAATCCTCAGAGAGCTCAAAATCAGTTGTGGGGAGAGATCGAGTGAATCCATTGGCAGAGCCAAGAGACACTGAGATTGGATTCACTTTTCTACGCAAAAAATTGTTAGAATTCAGGCTTCCTCCAATCAACTTAGGAGGAGAACTAAGTCCAGAAGCGGTGGTTAGGGTTTTGCGGTCGGCTACACAAGAAAGAGCTGAAAATGACCTGCAGGAATCCAGTGAACAAGAGCGGGTTTTACCAAATGGCTCAAGTTCTAACAGGTTTTCTCCAATTTCAAAAACAACATCAGAGTTGCCCTTTCCCTGGGGAGACTTGATCTGGGTTACATAATTTGGAGGCAAAGATTTAGGTGCCTGAAAAGAATGAAAATGGGTTTTGGGGATTTTAATCCTCATTGCAGGTCCAAAAAGAATGTTCTTACTCTCTGATGATTGAAGAGGTTTCCCTGGTATTTTGGTGTCATGATCAAGAGAGTCTACAATGCTTAAACCTACCTTGCTACTGTCCCAGCTCTTTGGGTGCCCATGTTGGGGTGACCTTGGGGACCTAACAAAGGGGTTCCCAATATTTGAAAACACCCTAAAATCTAGAGGGGACGTAGGGCTTTTAACAGAATCAGATTCAGAGAGTCCCTTAGAGTTTAGGCCAACAAACAGACCATGGATACTGAAAAAGGAATTGTTTTTGGGATTATTTTGCCAGCAAACCTCAGATTGAAGACAGGACTCGGGACTAGAATGAGACATTGCTTGATCTTTCTGAGGTGACCTAGTCCTCTTCCTCAGCATTATCTCCAAAACCCTCTCTCCTTTCTTATCTGGGATTAAAAAAAAAAAAAATCAGCAGATTTCAGCATAGAATTCATTGATTGTTCAAAATCAAAGTAAAAAATGCTTTTATCCGAAAGCAAAAAAACTGATCAAACCTCTCCGTACATATGAAAAAAGAGAGAACATAATAGGCATGGAAGAAACCGAACATCAACATAATACACAAAACATGGAAAATTACAAAATCACTACCAAATAAAACACAGAGGAGAGAAAGAAAAGAGCTTATATACTTCTAAATTTGAAAGATTAACGTAATGGCAGAAAAATTCAAATCAAGTGCAGCCTAGCAATAAAAGTATTTCATGAAAACGCCAAACCCAGACCAAAAGAAAAAACAAAAAACAAAAACAGAAATGTAAGAGGAATAAAGAAATTGATCTTTCACCACCAGTTCATGAGACACAGAAAAATCAACCGGTGATACCTAGATGAGGAAAAGCCCCAAAAATGAAGAGAAGAAATCCCCAAAGCAAAGAAACCCAAGTACAATACACCTTAATTTATAAGCGATGAAAATATTTAGAACTCCATTTCTTAGCTTAAAATCTAGACAAACCCAGACACAAAATGCCATTGAAAGGCATACATTAAGACAGAAAAACAAGAAGAGAAAGAAGGATTAAAAAACCCACCTGTGGGTGGAAACTTGAGAGATTAGAAATTTAGTAGAGAAGCGAGAAGAGGCAAATGGAGTAAATATAATAAAAGCGAAAACCAAGTACGTCTTTATCTGTGCGAAACTTGTGCGGCAATCCTCACTCTCCCTCTCTCTCTCTCTCTCTCTCTCTCTCTCTCTCTCTGGGTTGCATGCCTCAAAATCAGCGAAACAGTGAGCTTCTGAAATACTCTTCTTTCTCTCTCTAGAAGAAAGTGATACAATACAATACTGTCTTTCTCTGCCCACAGAAACAGATATAAATAAATATTTTCTTTTTTTAATTTCTTAATTCACTAATTATTACGTGTCGCCTCCTCTCATTTATATCACGTTTCTTCATTTAGTGTCATTCTGTCAACATCCTCCATATTTAATCATTTCTGTTTTCTTCCTTCAAATTTTTTAATTAATTTTTTACTAATTTTATTCTTACCCTAATTTCACTTTTTTAAAAATTCCCATTTTTTATACCTATAATATATTTTAATTTTTCTACTAAAATATTAATATTAATATTATATTATACATGCAGGGTTTAATTCCTTTTAAAAAAAAAAAAAGTGGTAATTGATTTGTTGCGGACACTTTTCAGTAAATTATTATTACTTTTGTGGTTTTCTCTGTTGTTTTATTTAGGATGGTGATTTACTTTTTTTTTTAAGCTTTGAGGTTTAAGTTTTTCAAGGGGAATAATTACCGCAGCGGTGCCGACACAGTAAATATATGCAGTAAAAATCAGTGAGTCATCACAAAACGACAAAAACTCACTGTAAGTGATTTAATTATTATTATTATTTTTTTTTTTCCCTTCTCACGCACTAAGAAACGCTCACCGCTTCTAACTCGGCTGCTGAGTTTGCGAATGGAGCCAAAATCCCGAGTTCTAAATCCGAACCGTACGTCAGCATTATTTCCCACTTGAAATTACCAAAACACCCTCCTTTATAAGCCTATAAATTCATCCAGAATATAATTTTAAGTTGCTAATACCATCACTACACAAAAAATGTTGGCGAAGTAATTTACGGAGTGTTTAGGATGAAAAATTTAGCATGGGCGGGGGTATATTTGTAATTATATTCAAATTGAGGGGGTATTTTTTACATATTTATTATTCTCTTTTAACCTTTTTCTTTTCACTTTCATAAGTCCTTTTTGTCGTTTTCCGTGACAGCTTTTCATGATTTTGTTTCTCCAAAACAAAAAAAAAAAAAAAAGAAAAAAAGAGAAGCTTTTATGATGTTAGACTGACACCTTAATGACCGACACGTGTACGCATTGGCTCGTATCAAAATGCAGATCGGACGGTGGAGAACCGAAGATTCCCTGGAAACGAACCGGTCGTCGGCGGTTTCCTTTTACCTTGTCCGTACTGCGAGTTCTAACTTTTCCTCTGCTGTGGGCCCCGCCACACGTGTTGGTTTCTATATGGCTAATTCTGGAGGCTTTGCTTAAGGCCATTCAGTTCCGAACTACTACTGCATATTTTAATACTTTAAAAAAAATAGTATATTGATTATGTATTATAAATTAAAAATTATTACTTAAAATATTGTTTGAAAAAAAAAAATTTGGTATAATCACTGTAGTAGTACGTACGAAAAGTTTTAATTTCAATATGAGTGAATTCTTAAAAAAAAAAAAAAAAAAGAATATGAATGCTTGAAAAAAAAATAATATCTTCACAATTTTAAATAATTTCTATATTCTTAATAAATTTTTTTAATCTTAATAATTTATTTTTTAAGTTAAATATTAAAATTTTTATCATAATTTAAATTAGAGATATAATGACAAATAAAATTTAAAAATATTATGTAAAAAATTTTATATTATAGTAACTGATATAAAACATGCTTCACTTCATTTATTTCAGTTTGTCTTTAAAATTAAAATATTTTATTTATATGTCAAGTTCATTACTATTTGATTCATGTCGTATATATTATGACGTATTGTATTATATATGTCTATGTTCGAATTTAATACATAGTTGGCGAGTCGTGTTTATGTAAAATGTGACACATTTGATGTCAACTAATTACGTATTTTGTATTCAAGTGATAAGTAGGTCAACCAGTCAACAATATTCCATGAACAGACTATTTTGATATATTGAATTAGTTCTTGTGAACTTTCGTTAGTAAACTTTAATTTATTTTTAATATGTAGATCATACTTCATCGATTTAATCTTACGTAAGTGTGATAGTTATTTAAATCAAACAATCAATTGAGATTTTATTAGTTTCGATGTAGTAGGAATTGTTTGGATGAAAAAATTTGAAACAAATAATATCCTTTATAGGAGTTTTTCTTCTTGTTTTGTAATTAATTATCTATAAAAGAGAGGAGTAATACTCACATTCTGACTCCCTAATGATAAAACTTAAGCTAACTGTATAATCTAATATAGAATTTTTTCTTTTAACAGTATAATCTAACTTGCTGATTGGAAGAAACTGAGTCAACAGTAATTGTATAGTTATATATAAAAGTGTTGTGTGGACTTAAAACGAAAAACTCAATTTATTATTCCAATCAGCAATTAAGAATTAACATTGTGAATTTGTATTATATATATATATATATATATACATATCGCACTCTTCGAGTAAATGATATTATTATGTCAATTAATTATAAAAAGCGATTTCCGAAGAATTAATTATAAAAAGGAAAAGCTATACAGTATACTGATCAGATTTTTTGGCTACCATTTTTTAAATGCCTTTTACTAATACCCAAAAATTCCTTTTTTTTTTTTTTTTTTTTTTTTTTTAATTTGCTCTAAATATATATATATATTTAAAACCTCGAAGGTCTCTTCGAGAAGAGATATTATTGGAATTTTAATTTTCTATTTAATTATTATTATTAATTTAAAATCTGAAGATTATGAAGTATAAAAACTGCTGCACTCGTGGGTGACAAAGTTTAATACTACAAACAAAGGAATAAAACATTTTTATAATACGTGGGAAAATCTTGGTTAAGCAAAGTCCAATATTGTCTCCTCGGTTGGGGCTTAACGAAAAAATTTGCAATTTCTTATTTTTCTTTTTTATTTTTTAGTATTTTAAGGTGAAGCAGCAACACAACAAATTATATATATATATATATATATTTTTTTTTTAAAATTAGGAAACTAAAATAAATAATATACGTCATATATTATATTTTGTGGTACGTGTGGTTGCGTAGTAGACCACTTAGTTATTGTCTTTTTAACCATTCTTAGATGGCAAAATTGTAAATCCGTGCAATTTAGTAATTGGAATGTATTTATAGTTTGTTCAAATATTATATTATTTGTAGTCAAGGAAAAAATATATAAAGCTTTAGGTTGAGTTAATTAATATTTCTTACTTGTTGTTAATCTTTTTATTTATGAGTAAATTATCAAATTAATTCTTAATGTTTGACGCTTGTTACTATTTAATTTTTTTTTTTTAATTATGATTTGGTGTGTAATGTTTTTCATTCGTTTTCTTTCGAATGTTTAAAAACGTCTTTTTTATTTTTTAACTGAAAAAGCAAAAATAGTTGTGTTTGAATAATTAAAAAAATTAATTTTCTAACCATTTTAATTTAATAATTTTGACTAATTAGTTAATTAATTTAATTTGGTACTGGCATCATCTTTCGAAAAAATTCACATTACTACGCGATTTGGCACTCCCTCTGCCGGCAGAATTCGCGTCTGGAGACATCCTATCCCTGGAGATCACCGAGGTCTTTCCTTCTCCAACTATTATCTGCTTTGATAAGCCAAGGAGAAGTAGCAATGGCGACTTCACCATCGAACACTGATGCGCAACTTGTGGCTCCTCCTCAGGAACCTGATTCTTCGCTCTCTTCTATCGTCTATGGTTCGCTTCTCTTCTTTTCTTCTTTGTACTGATAAAAAATTTCCCTACTATGCTCTGATACTTTTGTTGCTCTCCTTTTCTTTTTTTTTTTGAAAAAAAAATCACGTCGAGTCAAAACGGCTTCTCACTACTATTCGGTCGCGGGACAGACAATGTCGTGAAATTTGAGTTCTCGTGCAAATTTGATGGTTGATTACGTGTAGTGAACAAGTGAATTTTGGTCTTGCAACTCGTACGTTTTACCCTCATATTCCGCACTTTTGAACCAAATTCTTTATTGTTTTGAATTTTTTGAAATGGAGCCTACTGCTAATAATTTGTTTTCTAAAGGCTTCAAATGAAACTACTTGCTTTAAAAGGCCGTTTTGTTACTTTTTCCTGGAGAGATAGATACAATCTATCTCATTGTATTTTTTCTTTTTAAGATTATAGCAGTTGATCTTTGCACGGCAACCAAAACTTTGAATGTTTTTTAATTGTAATATTAGGTTTTAATCATAATATTAGATTTCTCGCCGATTCAGCCAATTTCTTGATTTTGACTTGATGAAAGCTCAAAATTTCTTAGGTTAAGAAGAGTCTAGATCATTTGAAAGTGTTTTTAAAGTACAAAATTGATTGCTCCATGTCATAGATGTAAAGACACTATTATATCTAAGTTCTCAAATTGTATGATGTGAACTCTATGTAGTGTTCAGGATAATGTGGTTAAGGAAAGGGGGCAAAAATGAAATTGGAACTATGATATAGCTTATTCATAATTAACTAACCACAAGAATTGTGTAAATTGCCAAAAAAACACATGTTCTTAGACATCTTAGTTTCGATGACAATTGCCATTTATTTTTCTTGCTAGTGATTTTGGCAGCACTGGTACATGTCATCTGAATATGAGTTCTGAGTGTTGAGAGATTTGTTCAGCTCTATAATATATAAGCTTCATTTATTTTTTTTGCTAAATTATTAAGTGCAGACATTTCCCAGCAAGTCCAGATGGCAATGGAGAATATGCTTAAGATGATAAGGTAGGTTGTTTGTTAGACAAGCTTTGGAAAATTTGCTTTTTGGCTGACATAGATGTCGGAACTAGTGCGGGATAGAAGCTGTTGTTGCATGCATAACTCGTTCTTAGTCCCTTGGTATTATTTTCTTTTTCTTATTCTTTGTTCTGGGATTGTTTGTTGGTTCTTCCACTTTAACATACACTTGCTTTTCCACCACCTGTACTTGAACATTTTGCTGAGAAGAATGCAGTATGGACAAAAAACATTTGATTTTTCTAGAATTTTTTCATTTACAATCATTTTTTTCTTTTGTTTGTTGAGAATGTACAACAGTATTATTGAGGGTTAAGTAATTTCTTCATAATTTTTACTTGTATTTTTTCAGTTCCTTCGTAGAATAAAATGCATGACAAAGCAGCTGCTACTCTTGCAGCAATTACTTTGCTTCGATGACTGGAAGTAGAAAATTTTGAATTTAATATGATCCTTGTAAAATATTTCTGATGTTTCCTTTATCAGCTGCAAGACAGTCCACATGCATTTCTCCTTCTGGATGAGTTAATTCTTTTTGTTTCTTTTATATATTATGAAAGGCCTTTTTGCCGGTATCTTATTCTGATATTCTGACTAAATTCTGAAATGAATTGCTAGTCCTTGAATGAACAAAATAACTTCTCTTTGTAAATTCCTATTTCAATCAATGCTTCTCTTTAAAAGATCTGATTCCTGTTAACATTTTTCTTTCTTCATATGAACTTGTCTTTCTCTTGAAAATCTTCAAGCGAAGTTGATCAAAACTCAGCTGGCATAGTGGAAGACATAGCAAAAAGCAAGGACTCTGCTCTTGAGAGGAAAAGAGTTTTGGAAGAAGAGAAGGAAAAGTTTCAGAAAGCAGCTTATACTGTTCTGGACTTGCTCAGCAGGAGTTAATTGTGAGCTCTAACTTTATTCAAAGCAGTAATGTAATATTCAGAAAATTATTTGACTTATGCACACATCTATACGTCCATGACCTTAAAATTGACGGACCAAGTAGGCTGACAAGTGGCCAAATATTAGTTTACCTTTTAGAAAATAAACAAATGATCATTGTCTCTTAGAGCACTAAGTTCTTCTACCTGTGAACCATCAGCCATAAGAATTTTGTTTCCTCTTTTTCCAAACTTCTTCTCTGCATCCATGAATTTAACAAATTTCAATGATTTTACAATTTCAATGATTTTATAAATATGCCTACTTTTTTTGATCTTTTTCCACTATAAAGTATAAAGAATCTATAGGCATGATACTTTATTTTCCTTTCAAACAGTGAGGATTAGAAGTTTCAGAACAGCTACGATGATTGTCAAACTGTATTTTGTGCTTAACTAAAACTAATATGATGCACTAGAGGCCACAAGTTTTAGAAGCTAAATGAGCATTACGATTTTGTTTGAGGTCGTAGGATAAAAAAAATGATGTGCAGCTGATCCATTTGGTTGCCAAGGTAATCTTACTTGAGTAATACAGAGGTAATTGTTTTATCAATGAGTTTTTGTTGCTTTGGAATGCAAGTCCTTGCCTCTACACACTGTCATATATATTAGGACCTATTTTCTCCTTTCATGTCCTGTCGAGTGGGTAGGTATCTTGGAAAGTTCTTATTTTTTAATTTTTTTTTCCTTAAGAAACTTCAATGAGAAGGAAGCGCTAGATCTTCTATCCTAGATTTATTGATGAGATTTTTGTTCAACTCCTTGAATCTTTAGGCTTCAATAATGGTTGTTTAGGTTCCTTATCATGTCTTTGGATGCATATGTAATGCAAAGGAAGAATACTGTTCTTCTGTATACCTGCTAACTTCAAGAGCTCTTCTATTGAGTCAGGCAGATTTATGAGCTTTCCCCTGTTCCCACCATCTGCTGGATCTTGATTTGGATGGTGCCCATGGATAGTCACCCTTACACAAACTGTGTTTGAGAAGGGTGAGGTTTCTGGTGTTTCTGCAAAATGATTAGATAATCAGTGCAATTCATGTTTCAAGATATCTAATATCGTCATTCCCTTAAGAGAATGATTTCAGTATGTTCCATTACTGAATTTGCATTGTTTGTGAAAAACTAATGTGACACTCTATTATTATTTCAATCGGCAGACTTTGATTTTGCTAATGCATAGCGGAAATCTCCATTTTGGCTTCCACTGAGAAGTGCCAATACTAAATGTTCAATCTACAGTGTGATTGTATAGCGGGTGCAAGGAAATTGGATTTGTAATATACAGTGTGATTGTATGCACAGAAAAACTAGTAGATGTTCTTCTCATATTTATTTTATTCTCCTCCTTTTCACGCCAACTGTTTAAAAATTCAGTAGATACCTCCTTCAATTATTCAAGTGAAGTTTTCGAGTACCTTTCTGAGTTGCATGTGTCTGAGAATCTAACACTTCATGGTATTGTGTTGCTCCTGCTTGCTGAAACATGTAATACTGACAGTTAGCTTTACATTTTAATCAGCTCTCTAATGATCCCAGTAAGGGTATAAGATATCTTCTAAAATTGGAGTGAAGGGTATAAGTGTGTGTCTGTGTGTGTAAATGTGTTAGAAAAGACTGTTTAATAGGAAGGAAGAAGATTTTTTACTTATAGGTAATATGGATTTCTAGACCTCTATCTGTGCTGTTTTAAGTTGAAAATGAAGGTATACCTCCATATTCAGGTCACCAAGTAAATCAGGCAGAAATGGTATTTCGTCCAGCACCTCTTTCTTTAACCCCTTCAGATGCTGCGAATAAAGAGTCAGCCAAAAAGTACATCTGCATTTTAACATGAGCTATACATATTTTTTGAAAAGAAAATGACTGATGAGCATTTACTCTGGATGCTCATTCTCCGAAAA